ATGTTGAATCGTACTTTGTAGTTAACAGTCAGCTTTCCCTTATAACCTCATTTAACAAATTTGTTATATCAACAGTGAAAGCATAAATTATAGGGAACTGAAAGGAAGAAATGAGCATAACATTTATTGAACACTCTATTAAGGAGCAGACATTTTGTTAGTTGCTTTATATATATTACATAATAAAACGACAAAATTTCCTAAATAATAATATAAAATTCTCAACCATCTTTATTCTCTTCCTGATTCTTTCATTGCTGGATAACGTCACTAATAATATGGCTAGCTAGAAAATAGATAAGAGTCTTGAATCTGATTATTTCATTATCGGATCTAAACTAATCAGTCTAATAAGCTACCTATTCGAAGATAAGGAAAATTCCCTAATGAGAAGGCTAAATGTTTCATGAATATTGAATAAATTCTGGGCTAAAAAGCTAACTGTTGGCCAGGTGTAATGGTGCACACCTCTAACCCCAGCACTTTGGTAGGTGGAGGTGGGTGGATCACTTGAAGCCAGGAGTTAGAAACCAGCCTGGCCAGTATGGCAAAACCTTGCCTCTACTAAAATTACAAAAATTAGCCAAGCATGATGGCACACACCTCTCCTCCCATCTACTAAGGAGGCTGAGGCACAATAGATGCTTGAGCCTGAGAGGGGGAGGTTGCAGTGAGCCGAGAACGCATGGCTCCACTGGGCTCCAGCCTGAAAAAAAAACCTGTCTGTGGACTTCAACGCTAACATTGGGCAGAGCAAACAATATTCCTTAATGTCTTCTTTTAAATAAAGAGTTTAAATCAGCCCAGCTGTTCTTTTAGAATAAATTGTTTGGGTATCAGATATAAAAATATAAATTAAAGATTTCCATTAAAAATAAAACTAAATATGTATGCTTTTAAATATATAAGCGAAATAAACTATGACCTGGGAGAGAATGTGGTCAGCAAGGAAAAGAACTTGTACAGCAAAGGTTGGTCAATAGCAGGATCTGGATAAATTAAGGAAACATTTAAAGCCCTACATCCTGGTTTCATTGTTGAACTGTTTAAATGCCACTTACTCTTTGTGTGTTTGTAATAGCATGTCCAAAATAAAATAAGAAATAAATCAGATTGCTCCACTTCCTCTGCTTTCCCATAAGAGCAGAAACTGAACCCTTGATATACTTAAGAGACAAAAAGGGAAAGGAAAGTGTAAATCAAAAACCTGAATGACACAAGTAAAAAGGCCATAACCTACATTTCCAAAGCTAGCAAATCTTGGAGCAAGAAGCCTTTGTTATTTCACAGGTGTCTGCTGCATAATGTGGCCAAGATACTTTTCTGAAGTACCACAGTGAGCTAAGAGCCAGAATATTTTGTTATAAATTAGTACAAAGTTAAAGATAGTGCTAAGGTCACCTGGTTAGCAAGTATGTTATACTGAAAGGTTTAAAGTTGTCACTCTAATAATAGAGAGAGTGTGTGTGTATGTGTGTGTGTGTGTGTGTGTGCGTGCGCGCGTGCAGGCTACCATTACAAAACACATCCAGAAGAGCAGAATTTAAGATTTAAGTTTTTCTTATTAAGATAATTTACATTTTTTCCCAAACACATATCCCCTCTGTGTAAGTTTTAAACAACATTTTCATAAGATTTACACAGGTGTAAGCAAATAGACCACATCTAATCAAGAAATATTCTGGCAATGATTTGCTTGCATCTGTAACTGCATGCTGCATTCGAGAACATTCTGTGCAAGTCCCAGGCAAGTTAAGAGATTCAGGTGAGTGAAGCTCCCTTGACGATATGATCATGCTGCCACAGCAGATACCTCTGGAATCGTGTTATGGCTGTATCAGAACACGGCAAAAGAGGATTCTCCTTCCATCTTAAATAGAAACGTGGCTCTGCTCTTCCTAAAAGATTACCTTTCAGGGTATCACCATTTTAAGAAATTGTATTCATCTCAATGCTCTTCTCAAATAGTGAAGACACACTTAAAATGAAACAACTCTACTGTGTTCCCTTTTAACTCTGATTGAATTAAACCTAATAAATACACTTCTCTGTCATGGGTGTCATAAACCTATTTTTTTTCTTATGACTCTATTTTAATTTCAACTAGAGACCTTGATAAGGCAACAAATATATGGGCCTAATATCTTCTAATAGGTAAAATTTCAGCATAGAAAGGGCTTTCTTTTCTTAGTGCCATTTAAGTATATGTTATACTTTCAGTATTACTGAAAGTACACTTTTTAGTATTACTGAAAGTGTACTTTAAGTAATATACTGAATCTGGCCAGCAAGGAAAAGAACTGGTACACCAATGGTTGATCAATAGCAGTATCTGGATAAATTAAGCAAATTGCATTTGCTCAGAATTTGAGTGTTGAGTTGATATTTATTGAGTCCTTACTAAGTCCAAGGAAAAAAGACTACAGGTTTCACTGAAATTTGTTATTTAGTCCCACAATAATGCTTTATTACTGAAAGTATATACACTGAGCAGCTCACTTTATACTTTCATTGTTACTGAGAGCACACTTTTTAGTATTATGTGAAGTGTACTTTCAGTAATACACTGAATCTGGCCAGCAAGAAACAGAACTGGTAGACTAAAGTTTGATCAATGGCAGTATCTGGATAAATTAAGTTGTTAAGTATTACTTCCAGTTCTGAAAAAAGAGAAGTAGCAAAGACCACTAGGAAAATAACAAGTGTCTATAACAGAGATAAAATATTTAATTGAGATTTTAAGATACTGTATTTGCTTTGTCCTATAAATACAACTTCTTTTGACTTTTGTGAATTCTCTGAGTTCTTATGAAGGAGGAAGTAAGCCCAATGATTCCATTTGGCATCCAGAGTAGATTTTGTTCAATGCTCCATGAATAAGTCCATTTTTGCTCAATATCAGGTGGTAATCTGAAATTTTGAATTATGAAAATATAAACTTGGCCTAGACATATGTAGATGAGTGCTTTGGGGGTTTAAGTGCATATTGCACACTGTAGTTTATCTCCCTAACTTCCAAGGCTGTCTTTTCTCTGGCTCCTGTATCTCTTATTTGATTTGTTTTACTTCATCAAAATAAACTGTCAACTATTCTTCACCTGGTAGCTTCTTAGGAAGGTTGCGCTCACTGTGTGTTTTTGCATGCTTATTCTTCGTGCTGATGGTAGTTTTCCATTTCCTCAGTTCTCTGCACAGTTTGATGCATTCTCCTTCATTCTGCAAGCTCCACCTTTTTCAGAGAGCATCTGGCAGTGCTCTCTCTGAACAGCTCGCTTGTGTTAAAACACCAAGGACAAGCGTTCAGTTTTACTGAGTTAGTTCCAATCTTATCACTCTCCTATCCAGGGTAAAGTTTCCCCAGTGTATCTGTGATTAAATAAAAATTTGACATTTTAGCTTCCTCTTCCATCATATTTCTTCACACTGGAAACGATTCTTCTAGAACATGCAGTTTTCTCCTCTGTGCTTTGATTTATGGTATTTGCTCTGAATATGAGAGTGTTGAGCTGATATTTACTGAGTCCTTACTATGTCCCAAGGAGAAGACTAAAGATTTTACTGAAATCTGTCATTTAGTCTCACAACAATGCTATGAACCAGGACTATTACATTTCCAATAGCAGATGAGGACACTTCAGCTTAGAAATGTGTCTCCTAAGTTGCTAATGCATTTGTGTAAAGCACTATTTAGCCCCCTTGAGTATCACTTAAAATCCAGTGGCATGCTGTGAGGTCCAATAGAAATCTCTCACATTTTGATGAACATGGCCTAAGATTTTCGATGATGTGAATTCTTTGAAACATCCATCCTTTTTTTCTGATATCAAAAATTGTGCTCATCTTTCAAGTGACTTCACTGAAATTGAGGTCACTCAATTTATAAGTGACTTCCTCAGTCTCTCTAGTGAAGATCTTGGCTCCATGTTCAACATCCACAGTTGCCTTCTCTGCTATCTACTCAGGATAAGGTCCATGGACTACCAGAATCAGCATCACATGGAGTTTGTTGGCTACGCCCTCAACCTCCTGAATCAAAATGTTCATTTTACTGGGAGTAAGCTATATATAATTTATATGCATTGTGAGGTTTGAAAAGCAATGTACTAGATACTTATTTATTTTGGTATTTAGTCATTTGCAGTAACTAATTATCACTCCTGTTTGCCTGACATTTTCCAAACAAAAGGGCCAGTATGTTATTTATAATTGCTTCACCCAAAATAACTAGCATAATACTTCTTATATGGTTGAAAATTGGTACATCTTTGTTAAGTGTATTTATTGAACTAAGAGAAAATTCCATAGATATTATACTTTTATATCTCCCATAACTCATAAAAGCAGTATTATTCTCTAAGTTATAAGTTCTGGGAATGGAACTATTATGTCCCATCTATTTTATATGGTGCTTGCCTACTATCTGGAAGGGAATCCAGTGATTAATGATTAATTAATCAAGATGATGATTATATTAAAGAGAGTTTTTAAAAACATACTTTTTTCTTTGAGTTTACTTAGGTAACAAACACCTGTAAGTACTTATGTGCCAGGGAGTGGTCTCGGTTCTTTAAATATTGACTTATTCACCTTCTGAACTTCGATCGCTTGGTCAAGCATAAATCTAGGTTAAATCAATAAAGGTTGATTTGCGATACCTCTTCTAATTCTAACACAGGTCATACCACATCTACTTCAGGTTGCTTTGTTGCAGATGATTAATTAACATGCCATAGTGGATACAAAATATCAATATTTAAGCAATTTTCTTTTTTTATAATTTCAAAATCCTTCCAAATTATTTGGAAGTAAAATTTGCTGTAGATGGTACGCTACTTCTGGTTGGATTTAAAATAGAATAACATCAAAATGTTTAGCAGAAATGCATATTCTATTTCAGAACAGAAATACCACGAGAAATTCTGTCAGGTTTCAGACTATGTTATATATATGGTACGTTCTATGCGTTGTTCACTTATGTAGACATGGTTTTGTATTCAAAGGGTGGGAAGATCCCAATCAGGTGGACATCACCAGAAGCTATAGCCTACCGCAAGTTCACGTCAGCCAGCGATGTATGGAGTTACGGAATTGTTCTCTGGGAGGTGATGTCTTATGGGGAGAGACCATACTGGGAGATGTCCAATCAGGATGTAAGTACATGTAGCCTATGAATTGTGAGTTCAGATTAAAATATCAAGCTGTGCATGGAAGTGGAGCATAAGGAAACCGGTGGCTCCTAGTTTGCAACATTGAAGTAAAATATTTAGCAGCAATGAGACTGTTTCCAAGTCTTGCAAGGATATTAATTGAGTTGTTCTTACAGATTTACTATTTTCCTCAAGCAAGGCTTAGAAATAAGACAGAAGAAACATTTGTAGTGAAAATGTAATGAAGCGACCAATAAGATAACCTCTAGATTCTAAATCACATTAAAGTTTGAAAATCACTGCTTTACACCATCGAAAACTACTAATGAACTAATAGTTACTTAATTTTACAAAAAAAAAGACTATGATTTGGCAGGGACCATTTGAACCACAGTATAACTAAAACCTGTATGCTAATTTTGTCCCTATTCATTAATATATGCTTTCTATAGAGAACTCTATAACCAAATAATAATTTCTTTGTAACACCAAAATTTCCTATATCATTTAATGTTTCTTTTACTTTAACCTGAAAATGATCTTTATATACTCTGCTTTCTTAAATTTATGTTATTTCAATCTTCCTTTAAATATTATTTTAGGCATACATAATTTCTTGTTTATTTGATCAGTTGTTATATTTTTAGGCAACTAAAAACGAGACCTTTTCCCAGTAACTTTTAAAATAACCGTTTTTGTGAGCCCTGCCCATGAAGAAGTAAAGTAAGTGTCACTTCCTAAGTTCCCAAAACTTTGCTTCTCACACAGGTAATTAAAGCCGTAGATGAGGGCTATCGACTGCCACCCCCCATGGACTGCCCAGCTGCTTTGTATCAGCTGATGCTGGACTGCTGGCAGAAAGACAGGAACAACAGACCCAAGTTCGAGCAGATTGTTAGCATTCTGGACAAGCTTATCCGGAACCCCGGCAGCCTGAAGGTCATCACCAGTGCGGCAGCAAGGTGACACTTTGTGTTTGCTACCTCCAAGACGTGATTTTTTTTTTTTTTAGCCCACTCCCCAGATGCATTCTTTGAAGCTTATATTCCCTTTCTTTTTTAATCCTTAGAAGTAATTATCATGTTCCTTAATAGTAGCGATTAAATTCTGAGATATTTTTTAACATCCATCTTGACTCTACATTCAGGCTTGTTTAAGTCTTTGGGAAATAGGGATACCAGTGAGGTGTGGTGGCTCATGCCTGTAATCCTCCACTTTGAGAGGATGGGGAAGGTGAATCACTTGAGGTCAGGAGTTCAAGACCAGTCTGGCCAACATAGTGCAATGCCATTTTTACTAAAAATACAGAAATTAGCCTGGTATGATGGTGAACTCCTGTAATCCTAGCTACTCGGGAGGCTGAGGCAGGAGAATCTTTGAACCTGGGATGAGGAGTTAGCAGTGAAGTGAGATCCTGCCACTGCACTCCAGCCTGGTCAACAGAGCAAGACTGTCTCTAAATAAATAAAATAAATAAATATACTGAGCACATAGCTTTTTTTTTCACTCTTCATGACTAAAGAAGTCCTGATTCATCTTTCATTTATAATAAGAAAAAAAAAGGATCCAAAATATTGTACTGGCTAGCAAATGCACATTTTCCTCAGTTAATTAAACAAATATTTGTTTATTCCATATTGTATACCAATTACTTTGCTAGACATCATGGAAGATAAAACTAAGAGTAAGATAAGGCTAGTGCCCCTGGACGCCACCACAAATGTTAATATTCTACAGCTATAATGCAGTCCTGGATTGCCCAAAGTCTATTTAATTTCATACATATTCTTCTAGGTTAAGAATCACTGAGTTCTCTCAGGGGTTAGAAGAATGCAAATCACAGTACATCTACAAAGTGAAGTGAAAGAAAGAAGGAAGAAAAAATGAATTTTGTCAGGGGCCATATAAGAAGAAATAAATATTAATGTATTGGTGCCTTTCAGAGTAATTAAAGGCAAAACTATCTTGTTTAATAATTTAGATTCCCATTGTGCACATAAGAGAAAAAGTTCTTTTACGTTTTGATAGGCTTTTAATTTTTTTTTATTTATCACATGAGTTGGTACAAGTTTCATGCTTTTAAAAATATTCCTCTTAACAACTCGAGAGAGAAGCATTTGAGACCTATTTGGGAATTCTAGCTATGTGCCTACTCAACAGCTGGGACTTGTGAGTTCAGTGATATTTTGATCAGTACAATGGAATTTCATCATTAATGATGACCTGTGAGTTATTCTCCCTTCTTTGCATAACGAGGCTTCTCAATGTCTGTTCTCAACTGTGTTAGTTTTCGGTCTCACTAATACTCTCCTGCCCTGCTGTTTCCATTGCTACAAAGAAAAATGGCTAAAGCTGACAGTCAATGCATGGGACTTTCCTTGGTTTTTGACTTAAGTTGTCTGTTTGAAGATCGAGCAGTGTGTGTGTGTGTGTGTGTGTGTGTGTGTGTGTGTGTTAGTGAGTGAATATATAGGTACAAGTTTGAGTAACCATGCCTTAGTATTCTATTTTTGTAAAAAAACCAATGATATGTAATACAATATTTTAAGATATCAAAAATCAATGCCCCTCAAATCCACAGTGAATAAAATAGCAAAAATTTTAACATATAAACATTTTTTATCCATTCATCTGTCATGGATACCTATGTTGATTCCATAGCTTGGCTATTTTGAATGATGCTGCAATGAACATGGGAATACAGATATCTCTTTGAAATACTGATTTCATTTCCTGTGGCTATGTATCTAGAGTGGGATTGCTGGATCCTATGTTGGTTCTATTTTTAGTTTTTTCATGGAACCTCCATACTTTTTTCCATATGGCTCTCCCAATTTACATTCCCTTACATTTCGATACTCCCCTTCTCAACATCCTCACTAACAGTTGTTATCTTTTGCCTTTTTGATAATAGCCATCCTAACAAGTGTGAGGTGACAGCTCATTGCGGTTTTGATTTTCATTTCTTTAATGATTAGTGATGTTGAACACCTTTACATAAACCTGTTGGTCATTTGTACATCTTCCTCAGAAAAATGTCTATTCAGGTCCTTTGCTCATTTTTTAAATAGGGGCATTACCATTTTTGCTATCTGGTTCTAAGAGTTCCTTATATATTTTGGATATTTCCCACCAATGAGATATATTGTTTGTAAGCATTTTCTCTTCTTCTGTGGGTTGCCCTTGTTTTGTTGTTGTCTTTACTTGCAGAAAACTTTACTTTGATATAATCCCTGTTGTTTAATCTGGTGTTTGTTCCTGTGATTTTGGTGTCATATCTACAACGTTGTTGCCAAGACCTGCTTCATAGAGCATTCCTTCTGTATTTGCTTCTAGAAGTTTTACAGTATTAGGTCTTCAGTTCACCCATTTTGTGTGGGTTATACTGAGTGCACATTATCCTGTTTTTATACAATAGTTGAATACATTAGATTGGAGAATCATAAACAAGGTCTTAATATCATTATCTAAAAATCATAGATTATCTATTGAAGATAACACATAGGAATCACTAAGATTGAATTTAGCAGTAAGTCCTTAACAATACTACCCGTAACTTATTCCATAAGGATAAATCTCCATCCCAAACTTCAGAGACTGTATAGACTCTTAGAAATTCACCTGACAGTTTAACAACCAACAGGATAACAAACCTGTCATTCCCTGGGCCATATGGTCCTCATTTTGTACCTTGAAGCCATTTATTTTGATCTTTACAGCATAGATAGTAATCACAGAAAAAAAAAAATACTTTCCCTGTCATAAAAACTTTCAAACCATTTTCAAAGCTAACTCATGTAATATAATATAATGTAGGGATATCTCATACCAATTTCATAGAGAAAAGTAGTCTTACTATCAGATTGTAATATGTGAGAATATGTCCTAGCATTAAAATTGTAATATACTTTCATAATTCACTTTTTCATTACTATTGAAATATATAAAATACTTTTTACTTACATATTTTCTTTAATGAACAAGTTTGATGTATTTTGTCACAAACTATAAATTTGGAATATTTTTTATAAAAAGACAACATCTTAATCAACCAAATATGAACATTTTGGCAATTATATTCATATTTTTACTCATTACCATTAAAATGCACAGTGGGTTCGATTTGCTATTATAAATTTATTATTAACAACCTCACATCACCGTGCAAATATGTCTCTTTAGAAAATTCACTTTTCTAGCTTTGACAATGATTATTTTACCCTTTTCATAGCTGACTAATATCACCCCTTCTTTAATTTTTACCGGTGTCCTTGCCAAAAGCTTTATTGAGAAAATAAGCCATTAGATGGGAACTTCCCACAGCAAAACAGAAATGCAGTGGCACCTGCACCTACCCAGATTGTCCTTCTTTCCTCGAATTATAAAAGAAAGTGTCCCTCTATTTGTCGGAAGTAAATCCTTTACCTCCCTCTCTCTCTCTGTTTCTCTCTCTCTCTTCTGCATATCTAGGCTTTTTCTTTCTGTAAGATCATTGCCACAAACATATGTTCTATTATGTTCTTTCTCATTATCTTATTCTTATCACCAGGGGAACCTATTGTGCATACAACTATCCAGGTCTATCCCAAGTATCTCCAGGAAAATGGAATGGAGTTTGATGTTTTATAAAAACTCCAGGTGATGTTTTTCTCCACTTGAAAATTTAGGAGATATTGCTTGTCAAAATTCTCCCTGTTGGCCCCACATCTCTGCCAACTACTTCCCTACATCCCTAACACTCTTTACATCCAAACTTCTCAAATAATAAACTCACAGACATAAAGTCAATATTCTGAAAATTTATCAATTTTCTGTCCCAAGCCTGATCCTTCCACTGCCTAATGAGTTGGATACACTAGCAGCTACTCATTCACCGACCCAGGACTGGGAGTGACACTTGGCACCTCTTTCTGCCCTCCACACTGTGATTATCTGGATCAGTGAGATCTACCCTTACCCCCTTTCACTGAAAACACTATCCTCATGGCTGCTTCGCCCTCTGACCCGGGCCACTGCGGTAGCCTCCTAACTTGTCCCCTGTTTGATGGCTGCCAAACTCCAAACATCTTTTTTGCATAGCCTCCAGAGTCTTATGAAAATATATATGATATCGTTTCAGTCACCTGTTTATAATCCATATTGAATTCATGCAACACTTAGAAAAAAATCCAGTCTCCATTTGAATGTTGAAAAAGCCCTACTGGCTGGGTGGAGTGGCTCAAACTTGCAATACTAGCTAGTCAAGAGGCTGAGGCTGGAGGATAACTTGTGGCCAGGAGTCGGAGGTCAGTCTGGGTGCTATAGCAAGATCCCCATCTCTACAACATTTTCCTTAAAAAAATGGGCCGGACATGATGGTGTCTGCCAGTGGTCCTAGCCACTCCGGAGGCTGTGGCAGAAGGATTGCTTGAGTCCAGGAGTGCGAGGTTACAATGAGCAATGATAACAACACTCCACTCAGCCTGGGTGACCGAGCAAGACTCTGTCTCTTGAAAAAAAAAATAATAGTTAAAGAGAAAATTTTTTAAAGTCTTGCTTGTCTAATGTTATTTATTCAGATAAATCTTATTCAACAACTATTTCTATATAATACAATGAGATGACCATAGCCAATAATACCTTGTGTATTTTTAAATAAACTGTTTTTCAAGCAGTATTTATTATATACATATATTATATAATATTGTTATGTGCCAGTCTCCCATGTGCAAGGCACTGGAGGTACTGAAGAAAAATGAGGAGGACAAATATGGTCCCTGCCTTCCTGAAGCTCACGTTATAGAAAATGCACAGTAAACGACAGACAAGCACAGACCAGAGGAAGGAAACAGGTCAATGGCCGTGGCGGGCAGTAAAGAAGTAGCTGGGAAAGGGTCCCCTGAGGAGTTGATGTTCGAGACCTGCAGGAAGGGAATGAACTTGTTGCATGCGCTTCCCTTCACCAAAAAGAATATTCTTGGCA